GGTGGGGGCTGCCCAGCGCGCCTGGCCTCTGCTGGCGCAGCAGCGGGGGTAGCGTTGGCCGGGGCCCCACCTTTCCCCCCGAAAAAGCTTGAAGCAAGTCATAGTAAATGAAAAAGTTGCGAACGTCTCTCTCAAGCTGCCTGCTATGCTACTTACATGCGTGAAAACTTAATGTGGCCTCATTAGCAAAAAGCGCTGTTGGCTTTAGTGTAAAAGCTATGTGCAGTTGCACATCAGTGTCGCTGAGTAATTCTCGGTGGGTGAGAATCGGTTTTTGGTTAAATTTCCACTTACTTTTCCAAAAAAGCATCAGGAATGAAATGTAATTTCAAGCAGTATGCTGTGGCACAAACATGTATGGATAAAACCTTCTGAGGCTGCTTATACAGAAGTACTGTGCAGGTGCCTGTGAGTTTTAAGAATTATGCACCTCTGACTCGGGTTGCTCTTGGTTGATATTTGCATTTCAAAGTCTTAAGGACACAGATCACTGACTGGTAACCTTTGAAGGTCAGAAGGGTATTGCTTGGCTTACGTGTTTACTTCAGCATAAAATAATGAAGGAAGCCAAGTGCAGTGAGTAGAACGTGGTAGAAGCATACAAATGCAAGCTACGTGTGGTGTTGTGTAGAAATAAAATCTGTTCTAGTGAATGAAGTCCAGGGAGTACCTTACCAAGTGCGTAATCCTTCAGTGTGCCTGTCTTGTTCAGCATCTTCTAGCTTTGCACCTACAAAGGGGAAAAAAACCTACTAATGTTTTGATATATTGGCCCAGTGTTCTAACAATTGCTGCAGTTATTCCAACTTTCTCTGTGGAAACTGAAAAATTGTTTTAAATAGAGAAATAATACGCAACAAAAAGGAACTATATATTCAGCAGTTAAACTGTTAAATTGTTCTGAGTACTTCTCTCTGTCCTAGTCTGTGGTATTTGTCTTTTTCCAACGCTTGTAGTTCTTTTTCCAGAAAGAAAAATAGGGAACTTGGAAAGATTTTATGCAGAACACTGTCATTCACACGTCTCTAATATTAGATTTGTAATGAGTATGTAATAACATACTGATAAAGATTAATATAAAACCTCTGCTTTTAATCCTAACAAAGTAATAATGGAGAGAAAAATCTAAATACTGTTGTTATTCTTGTCAGGGAACTTTAACTAGCAGAATTGTTGTATCATTTTGAATATTGTCATTTTAAGTTTCAGCTAGGAAACACATACTTGAAGTCTTCATTGCTTCCAAGTGACCCGATTCTTAAAGTGGATTGGCTTATTTCTCCTGTTCAGGACAAGTTAACGTCCTGTGTCAGGGATAAATGTTGTGACTTCTTTCTATGTATAACTTTTCTTGTTTATTTCAGAAATGAGGGTTCATTAACATCAACTTTAAGAACACTTCTATTCTTCACAGCTTTAATGATCACATTACCTATTGGGCTGTATTTTTCATCAAAGGCTTATATATTTGAAGGTAATTCTGTTTTTGCTGATTAGCCATACTATTCCAAAAAAAAGGAGGAAAAACAGCCTCTAATAGTGTCTGTTTCGTGTTTGTTCCTGTTTTGAATATCTATTTCCTCTTGTAGGCTAAAGGCACTATAATGTGTAATTGGAACTGGACAGTGATAGAAATGGTCAATACCTCTTTCCATGCATTGTGGTATGCAATTTAATATTCACTGTTATTTGTTATAGGATGATTTGTACTGTATACAGAAGCAGCATTCTTGTTACCTGTAGAGTACGCAACACTTCCCTTCATCAGATCTTTGTTAGAATCATCAGGGTGTGTTTCTTGCAGGCATTCAAGATGGAACAACTTTATATATCCAGTTCATTTTTTGCTTTTTAAAACAGACCTGCATTTATAAGCACAAAGCATTAAGCTGTAAGCCTCATTGCAGGTACAGAGTGTGGCTGCTTGTAGAGCTTTCCTCTAAAACAAGAGGGGAAAAAACAAGAGTGCTTTTAGCTGCTTGTATGGAGTGGTTCTGTTAAACTGCTAACAACCAAGCATGCAAGATTTAGCCTTGATTCTGCAAGGCTATAATAACTTCCTAATACAACAGAAAAAAGCATCTCTTTCAGGAGGAGGGAGGAGAGAGGGAGAAAGCAAACAGCTGCCCCTTAAGAGCCGTTCATGAGTCTATAACTAAGTTCAAAGGTCTTTCAAGATGATTCTGCACTGGTGTGTTCTGCTATGTGTAGTTCTGAAGGTTGATGCTGAAAACTTGCTCAGTAACTTTCAAGATACTTCTTGGTGCTTTGGCTCTTTTACCTGAGGCATAGCATAGTTTGGCAAGCTAAGCCTTAGCTTTGCTTTGTCAGTTAATGGCAAGAACTGCCAGCAATGATAGGACTGTTTGTTGTTTTGGGGGTGGGTGGGTGGGGGAGTTTTTTTGAATGAATGAAGACAAGTGATATTTTAAAATGCTTCTGGTATCTGAAGTCTTAATATCTTTATTCCAGAAATAGTTACAAGGTGTGTAATTGCCATGGTGAATTCTTTCCTATGAATCTTTCTCAGTTCAGTCTTTTGATACAAGATTAGCTATAACTTTGGTCTGAAACATTTTTGATTTGATATTTTGGAGTTCCTAATAACATTCTTTACTCTTTGTTTTATTTCCTCAGGTACCTTAGGAATGTCCAACAGAGACAGCTATTTTTATGCTGCCATAGTCGCTGTAGTTACTGTTCATGTGGTACTTGCTCTGTTTGTGTATGTGGCATGGAATGAAGGTACTCGACAGTGGCGGGAAGGCAAACAGGACTAAAATGGAAATCATCATCCTCTGATACCTACAGACTGTAAATAGAATTTTTGTGACTTGAGTTAAAAGCATTCTTCAGTGTATAGTATACATGTGTGCAAAGATGAGGCTAATGCCTCAACTGTGTTTGGTTAGAACAAGACTTATGCTCATCTTAGATGTGTGCCAGTATTTTCTCTAATGCTGGTGAAAGTTGTACATTAGTCAGCCTCTGCTGGGTGGAGCTGAGGAGGTCTTTACCCGAAGTAGAATGAAATAATTGCGTATTTTAGAGGGGAAGAAAAAAATCATGCAGCTATTTTTGTCATTCTTAGTATTTTTCTGGTCTTCTATGGAAACAGTATTGACATGATGCAAAAATTATGTTTTTCAGTAACTAAATTACTAGTTACAAAAGCTACATAACTTCCTATCCAACTCAAATGAAAAAGGTGTGATTTCTCTTTACTCTGGATAGCTTCCCCATTTTCAGAACATACAGTCCAACTGAGCATTGTTTTGTGCTAATCGATCATGCTAATACATATAGAGTCTCATTTTGTTTTTGGTGTTGGAAGTGGAATAAAGGCAATGGCTAAACAGGCAGCTCTTTACAGTGGTATGTTGAGCAGAGGCTTTTTAAATGCAGAAATCAAAAAATGCCAAAACAAGTAGAGGAAGTCTTCAGAAAAACTCGCTAAGGAACAGCTACTGAAGTTTGTTAAAACGTTGTCATTATTTTTCCATCAAAACTAAAAAAAAAAAATTTTTTTCTGTGACTTCTGTGATTCATTTGCAGGAAAAGTCTACAGTTGCAGAGAATCATGTAAGAAGAAAAGGTTGTTTAAATAGTAATGTATGGTAGATGTGTTTACTGACCCTCTAGTGCATTTCTAGTTGTATGCTTGTTGTTTGAATCAAAAACACTAGAAGAGTTTTGTCTCCTAGGAGATGGAATTAGTCCTCTTAAAAAAAAATGTGTTTCCAGGCTTAAAAGTCGTTGCAAAAATAGAACTGGTTAAAAACTCAGGTGGTGTCTCTTTAATGTGAAATGTCAACTTTTTCTCATTTTCAAATGTAATTTTTGAGTATGGCATAAAATGCAACCTTTAATTTCCTTTTCCAATGTTTGGGATGGGTTGCCATGTTACTGTCTTGCTCCTCTCTGCTCTTCTACAGTTAATCTTGATGATGCAAAGGAAATGGTATAGCATATTTTTTCTAGTGAATATTTTAAATTATGGTTGCCCCTGAACTTCTATGCAAGTTCTTACTTTTATGTAAGTGCATTGCGTGTGGTGACGTTCTAGACAAAGTAGCAGCTATAAGCCACCCTAATAGGCTGTGGAGGAATGAGTGAGGTCTGAGAGAGAAGAGAAGCTGTAGCCATCTGCAAATGTCCTTCATGAAGCAGAACACAAGAGTGATCACGTTATGGAAAACTTGCTTCTTTTCATAAATGTTAAATTGCATACTATGGAATGATACAACATGTTGATCACTTCTTTCTTTTTTTTTTTTTTTTTTTTTCCCCTTTCCTTCCCTGTTGGCTGTGTGTGGGGACTTTCTGTAGTAAACCCATGGTGAGATTTTTATCTCCCAGGATAGTAACCTGAAATTCATTTTACTGTTGTGCTGCTGTTAGCAAGCTGTAGAGAAATTCCCCCCGCCCACCGCAAGGTTCTGGCAATGCATAGTATTTCCCTAATGCTGATGATTGCTTTTAAGCTACTGTGCTTTAAGTCTTTCTGTTCCTTTGAGTTTTCCAGGTTGTTATACTAGTTAACCATTTTCTAGAAGGTTTTTTGTTTAATATAGGACTTGGAATGTTTTTGGTACTTACTGCGATTTGTCCTTTGTAAAACTTAACCATAAATATGACAAAAATCAGCTAACTGTGCACAGTCGCTACAGGAATGTGTCGCCAAGACTCATTCCCCTCACTTCCACCCCATCCTAGGTGCACAAACATCCACAGGGTGTGCTAGAATGCAGCTGAAGCATTAGCAGTGAAGCTTATTGCTGCTTTGTAGCGTTGCACTGATACAAATCAGTCTTTAATTTTTCTTTCTGAAACATTAACTTTTCTCAGCCAGAAGTCCAGTGTGAGGTTGCTGCTGGCACACTGGAGAATGGTCTTGTAGTAACTTGAAATTCAAATTTAGTTTGTACAATGCCATATTGAGATTTCTCTGTTCTCTGGTATATGAGCTGTATATTGTACAATAAATGCTGCCTTTTAATACAGGATTACCCTGCAATACACGTTCCACTGCTGAGAATCAGTAAACAAATACTTCTGCTGAACAATTTTTGAATTATGTCTTTAATATTGCTCGTGTGGCACAGCTTATAGCAAATAGACCAGCCTTAACATTGTTTTCTAGCATTTTTACTCCATTTATAATGGAGTATAAATGGGAAAACTACTATTGTGCTTCATTAGCTGGGTATTGTGCTATATCTGTGTTATTTTTTCACATACCAGAGTGCCTAGACACTAAAATTGCATTTCCTAGGAATGATGAAGAAATAATTCTCATTATAATTGTTTAGTTACAAACATCTGAAATGTTTGATCACTATAACGCATCAGCAGTTAGGAGTAACAAGAGCCGAGTTTTAATCAATCCATAGGAAGATCTTTTCTTTCCAGGTAGTGCTTTGGTCCCCAGTATTCTCCCTGAGAAAATAAGGTGACTCATGAGTCTCTGGGCAGCAGTGAGGGTGTATGTTGCCAATTCTTGGAAGCTGAAACAATCACTCAGGTAAGTGATGCAATTAAAACAGTCAGGCAGTGGAATTGCACCATTACTAGAGAGCTCAAAGAACAGAAACTGCAGCCATATGTTGTAGAGTGTACATGGAATTAGATACTCTACTGGGATTCCTGTTGTGCCTTATCAATACTAAAATTAGTTATACTTCTACAGCTGTATTGCAGTCTCTTTAGGTTGAGTGTTTATTTTCATGTATCTGATATCCCTGTTAATGTCAAAGCTAATTCTCAGTCACTATTTTTTTGTTGTGTAATGATCACTGTGATTCTTTTAGCGTTTTTATAACACTGTATAGAGTTGTGGAATGATCAGTGTTCTGGTTACTTTGTTTTTTGTATAAAGTGGAAATGTAAACTTTATAATGATGTACTTTAAAGTGATACTGTAAGATTGTGTTCATTTTGTTACTATGAATGGAGTTGGGACAATTGTTATTAACAAGAAAAGTGTTGGGACAATTGTTATTAACAAGAAAAGTGTCGGGAAGACTTTGTCTGCGCAAGCTGTTCAATCCTTGAAAATCATCTGTCATTTAGAGAGAGACCATCATCTGTTTGTATAGACTGACAATTTTGCAGTTTAGCTAGAGCAAAGTATTGTACCTAGCACTGAGTGAATATTTTGAGACTGAGATTGTAGCAGGGAAATCTCTGGAATGTTTCCCAAAATTATAAATAGTAAAGGCAATTGTGGGCATTAAGAACTAGAAAATCAGTAACTTTTGAAAATTACTTTAACTTTATTCTGTACTACTTAGGATCTCTCTATCTGGCTTTTAAAGGCCTGCAAAAGAACTGTAGTGGGTATCCAGCCTGTGAAAGTGTGCAGGAGAGCAGCTTTGGTTTGTGGTTAAGGATGCCTGATTCAGTTCATCTGTTAATTGCTAACACTGAGTAGGAAGTCTCCAGAGAAAATAGTGGTGTTGACAATCATGTATTGTTAACTGGAATTGTATGTCAGATCTAACACTGGTTGATGTATGCAAACTTATGCAAACTTTAAATAATCTTTAAAACATATTTAAAATACTACCCACCTTTTATTGCTAGGTAAGAGAGGACCTAAGAATAACTATCATTTTATATATATATATATATATATGTATATGTATGTGTATATATATATATTTTTAGAAAACTGAACTCCTGTGTAGTCTTCACAATGCTGATTGATGCTGTGAAATTGGTATAGAGGGTGTGTGGGTGTTTTTGTTTGTTTGTTTTTTGTCATGCTGCACTAGCTAAATGACAAACTAGATGGCAGGCTTTTCTGTCAAATCCCTTTGATGGTAGAGGGAAAGTTGATGCAGTGCTGGCTGAAAAATGATGTTCTCGTGTAGTGCAGTGGTGGACAGTAACATGTTCAAGGTTATTGCACTTTTGACAGCTTTTGAACACCTGCCCAGTTATTCTGGCTAGATAAGCTATGCTTAGGTGTCTAATGGCCCACACAATTGGACAGGGTGCTGTGAGCCTTCAGGCGGGGGATCGGGATTGTGGCTAATACCTCAGTGAGTAAGAGATGGGAAAGGAGAGGGCCTTTAAAGAAGACTAAGCTACACATTGTTACAAATAATGTAATATGGGTATGCTTGAAATTTAGTTAGGCTGCAGCTCGTGGGAAGGGAGGGGAAGAAGGTTTTACGAAAGCAAAGGAATGCCTTGCGGGGAGATAGGGTAGGGTGAGAACGGGAATGCGCTGGCACAGCTTGGTGTTTGATGACTTAGGCACCATATGTTTCCGCTCAGAAGTGTTTATCCCGCTGTTCTCTCGGGGATTATGCAAAGTCATTGATCTGAAATATTAAATGTAAATCATACAGGATAGCAAGCCAGTTCCATTTTTAACTTTTGATTAAAGTTGTTCATAGGTAGACAGCTTTGCATCTCCTTTTGTGGATGATCTGGGGCACGTTTGTTCTGCTTTCAGATGTACAAACAGGCGTTGTTACTAGCGCTGGTGAGTCATCTTTTAGAGCAGGGTCAAGTCCTTGGAGTGTAAATATTTTTTTAAAATATCAAAGAGCAACTGCCACTCTAAGGTCTTATTAGCTCCAATCAACCGTTGCTTTAAGTGAGATGCACAAGCTTCTTGTTTGAAGTTCACACAAAACAGTGCTTTCTGTTTGACTGCTTGCAGGGAGAGGCTCTCTTGTGCTTGAATGGGGCTTGCAACAAGGAAATACTGTGTAGTTTGGGACCTCACAGTCATTCTCATATATGAAGATACATGCTAATATGCTGCGAGTTTCTGTGATGAAGGGATGCAGTTTGACTTCCTTTGCTAGAAGGACTGAATCACAGTGCTGTGTAACAAAGCTGAGGCAGGCTTTAAGACAGAAATAAACTCCTGAGACTTTCATTTTATATTCAAATGGCATTTAAGATAAGAGTTTGGCAGAAGTGAGATTTTAATAGAAAGCAGCCTTTATGTAGATAGATGCAAAGGTTTTTGGAAGGCAGGGTGTCTGACTGGGAAGCTTTGTGGTAAAGGAAGACAGGGGAGAAAAGCCTGGAAAGCCATGTAGTTAACTTGTTAGCCCCCCTGCTTTCTGGCTGGGGCTATGCCTCAGCCCTATCTGGATCCTGCTGCAAGCGCTGAGCGTTGCAGCTGCAGCTCTGGTGGCTTGGCTGTTGGGTACAGCGCTCCTTCAGTGGCTGCCTTGGCATGATCTCTTCTAGGCGTGAAATTTCATCTCTTAGCAAGAACCCGAATCTGGGTTTTCGGCAACATTATGTATGAGAATTTTCTCACTGAGCCCATAAAGTTGAATGCCTGGGGCTGACTTTTAATGCTGTTTTGCCCTTGTGTTGCTGCAACCTCCTTTGGCCTGCAGGCTGTTAGCTGGTTCGTTCTTGTCTGCGGTGAATCCACGTGGCTGTCCTGTATTTCTAGGAGTGATCAGGTGCTTGGTTTCAAATGTGCTTTTACGATAGCACAAACTAATCATAGACCTGGAGAACAGCTTTTGATGCTTCTGGCTGGCATATGATGCAGTTTGGTTTAATTTTAATGTAAATGATCCAAGGCAAGGTTGTTATTAATTAAAACTGTTTTCAATTGAAGGATGATTTATGAGTGAGAGTTACAGCAGTCAAAGTTGAGCAAAAATTGCTGTGGGTGTGGGCCCATGCTACATGCACCACTGAGGAGCTATTGAATAACTTTGCTGTTTTCCATCCTCAAGATGGAGAGTTTCTCTAAAGTTGTGTGACCTATCCTTATTAATATGGCTTTCCTGATGCTGGA